TTGGATCCATACATACGATGTAGTGATAGAGCAAGTCCGGTTTGAATTGGTGATAAGAATGTCCTCGGACGGACTGATGAAATGATTGCATGGGTTACCAATGCTCCGATTCGTTTAACTTTGTAAGGATCTGAAGACTTTTTTCCTAAAACAGTGTCCATAAACAAATTCAAAGTGTCTGGAACTAGGTTCTCACCACCTGATTTGATATCCTCAATATCTGGATAAAAGTCTTTTTCGTAAGCCTTTTTTTGTATATCTTCTCTGACTATGAACGCTGCTGCCAACACAATTCTTGACCTTTCACTTATGGTATCTTCTTCTCGGTCATTGTACCACGTTTCAAGTAATTTATGAGCCGTCTCAGCTAAAGTGAAAACATTTTTTTCCCCCAGTGTGTTTGAAACAACAATTCTATCTCCAAAGTATTCAAGAAGTTTATTTTTTAAGTGATAGTCACTGAATCCTCCATGTATTCCTCTTTCATCACACATTTGTGTCAATTTATTTTGCAATTCTTTTATAGTAAATTGAGAGTCATCACTGTTTTCAATGTAACTGCAGAGGTCTAAAAAAACTCTCCCTATATCACTTTTTGGTCTCCCGGTACTAGATTCTGTTTTTATTTAAAAAAATGCTTTGTAGCAATCTCCATGGTAGATAGCTTGGGGTGCCACCAAGTCATGTACATTTAGAACCCTGGCCTTCACGCTCTTTCCCCAGTCATCTTTCCGCACATCACATTGAGTTAAAATAGACAGTTTCATCCCTAGAGTAGATACATTATGTACAGATCTTCGACGTTCCGATGAAAACTTTGCTTGCCCTAATGCGTCTTTGCCGCACAAAAAACAACAACTTTTGAAGTCAAATTTACATTCAGTACTTCGTAGAGTTGGTAGAAATGTTGAGAAAACTGCACTAGACGATTTTTCAGAAGCTGTTGAGGCCTTGATGGAGCTTGGTCTTGTGTAATTTTTTCTACATATAACATGTACATTGATCAATGTTTTCCCTTCCAGTTTAATATTCAGATCATCTCCCCTCCTCAAGCTTGACTCAATTATACTTTGTATTCCGCGTTCCACCGTTACTACAGGTAAATCACTATCCAAAGTGTTTTTACATATAGCACAAACTACATCAAAATCCTCCATTTAAAAAACTAACAAAACCACTACATTATTTACAATTGAGATTTACCAGTAATTAAAATTACACATAAATAATTAACTCACTGATACAAACGAAATACACTGCAAAGGATACTAAAACACGAGCATGAAATTCATAAATATAATGAGCATCCAAAACGAACAAAGTCATTAACTAAACTGAGATTATTTATTTACATTTAGACATAGATAAACAAGCTCAGATGGTCCTGGTAACAATGAATCAGCTGGCCTTACTCAGCAGAACTAAAACAAAAGGCATCTCATCCATTCCTCATTCGTCATTGATTTATATTCGGCCTATAACACCCATAGTTCGTTGATAACACCCCAATGCAGGGTAGTTGGAGTCTCAAGTACTAAAATACCCCCGCCGCAGCAAACCTGCCGAATAAGCGAATTTCCATTTGTCTGAATTGATTTTCAAATAAATCTGTTTAAATAACATTACGTTTAACGAGTACCTGGGTTTACTGCTACAAGGAAACTATTAAAGTGGTGGTTTTAGTAAAATATTATTAGCTTAGTATACAATAAATAAATTTGTCAAGTTTTATCAAAATATTTCCATAAACAAGCAAACTACAACATTTTACAATATTCTCCATGAGAATAACATGGGAATTTTAAGTTTCCAATTTTTTTTAATTTTCCCCGTTAGGCTACTAATAATTGTAGAAAAACACATTTATATACTAAATTATTTGTTTTTTTAAGCTCTTTAAAAAGGTCAAGAGAGAAGTCGGGAAATTTTGTGTTTTGAGGTTCAAAAATGAGAGAAACAATTTTTTACTCCATAAACCCCCCCCCCCCCCCCCCCCGTGAAACCCCGTTACCATGGTCCGATCATGCGGGTTCGCAAACTCATTCAAGTTTATCCCACCTTACACCTATAAACCAAATTTCATCAAAATCGGAAAAAAATTAATCAAGTTATCACGTTCACGGACGTATAATATATAAATCTATCAAAATTTGAACGAATGTTTTTTTTTGGCCTCTGGGAACATCAAAATGAAAAAGTAAATCTGTCCCGGGCATATATCCTACCATGCAACCTACGGTAATAGCTACTTCCCTAAAGGGAAATTCGCCAAAATGAATGTAGGAAGGTGTATAGTATTTTTTTTTTTTTTGTGATTTAGACTAAAACTAAACAGACGATTAAACTGTATGTAGAATAAGATTTGGACTTTTCAAAATGAATTTGTTTGCAAAAACTTTTTATGTGAAATGTATACCATGATCAATCTATTATTACAGTCCCATGCATCACATTTTAACAGTTGATGATTCAAGTTATTATTTAAATAAAAGAGGAAAGTATTTTTATTTACGATATTTTAATTAAATATTCTCAAGTTCTATTTAGTACTGTTAGGCCTATCATTTATAATATCATAAGACCACTCTTCGGATTGATATTCAATGTTTAACTAAAAGCCTTAAGGTAGTAAAGAAAAACAAACAACTATAAGAACATTACTTATAGCATAGAATAAATAAACACCATAGTTATTAGCCACGCGAGTCGAGCGTCGTCGTCGGTGCGGGGCGGCGCGCTAGCCCAACCTTAGATGACATTCCAAACGCAAGCGATAATCACAAACATGCAATCACTTATACCGTTTTAAAGCTCAAAATGCAGACTACAATATTTAATCCAAGCACTTTTGTGTATTTTAACTAGTTTTGGAAATATCGTTAAAAATGTAAATTTAAATCAATTAAGAAAACATTTTTTTGTCTTTGTTGTCTAATAACGGCTTAAATATTAATTTTAACGAAACATGCATAATGACCAAACTTGTTCAAAAATTAATAAGGAACAAAATAAAAAAAAATTGATTCGCTACGATTGATTTTAAGGCAGTTATAGGCGATCTAATGAAACTCTGCATTTTTAGGCTAAAATGGTGGATTGGGGGGGAAGCACAAGGGGGAGAGGCGGGGACTTTTGAGAAAATACACATCCCATAAGGGTCTATCACATACAAAAAATTCAGCTTTCCCCTAATTAGTTGCGATAGAAAACCTTTATTGACTGGGCTAAATGATGTACTGGTTCCCCCTCTACTCATTTGTTGGTAATCAAAGACATAAACTGTTTTTTTCAAAAGAAGGTCAATTAGACAGTGTTTATCGGAAACAATTCCTCACTTGATAGAAGAAAACTGGTTGACTGTTTAGTTTTTGTGTGGCATAGTTAAGAATATTACACGTTTGAAATGGGGATTTTCTAAATTTTTAGGTAGGCTAACTGATGATTTAAAAAAAATGTTTAAAATACTACACAGCAGTGAAAGGCAAAGAAGAAAGTAAATTATGAACACCAAGCGTATGCAAAAGCAGCAGAGTAAGTGAAAGGAAGAGGAGAATTATTATGATAACAACTACGTAGAACCTCAATAACAAGTCACCCTTGATAACAAGGGTCATTTTCAAATCCCCTTGAAATTATTTTACCCCTAATCACATGTTATTGCAAACCTCGATAAGAAGTCAACCTTGATAACAAGTCTTAGTTTGTAATCCCTATGAGAGTCTTGTTATCGACTGCTGTACTTTCATATTTTGGTTTGAAAACATAAGAAATATTGCATAAGAAAAGCTGGGTTGTAGCATAATTATTTAGCAACCAAAAACAATTAACAATTTTTATGAAAACTTAAGTAAAATTACTTATTTTGCAATTGTTTTTTACTAAATATTTACAGGATACCGCATGCTTCGCCTTCGACAATTTATACATAAGTATAGTTAGCCCAAAAGCTTTATTATTTGAAAACAAAGAAAATTAGAAGAGAAAATTATATTTGCTATAATTAATTAGACATCAAAACTTGTACATCTACGCAAAAGTTTACAAGCAAAGATTGGAAAATTAAAGATTATGATTGAGCAAAAATATAGTTTTAGTAGATTCAAGTCCTACCAAGCCACCACTGTTTCTCAATCAATAAAGCAAAATAAAATCAAACTTTGGTTAAATGTTTCCGTGTTATACAACCACAGAATATTTCTACACTGTGCACACACAGATTCTGTTTCCCCAAGTTGTTTACTCAAAAGGTGAGGAAGGTGACAAAATACTCCAACATTTATATGTCATGATCTAATTAAATAAATAAAAATGTATTATTGCCCAAGCGCAAGCGTTTATCAGTAGTAGGCCTACATAGTGCTTTTCAGACCAACAAACAATCAAATTAAATAACCAATAAAATGGACAAACCAAAATGTAAGACAATAATTAAGAAAAAAGTCAAAAATCAAAAGTGTTTTCAAGTCAAAAGTAACAACCACAGCATGATATTCTAATTCCACTCTACATTCTCTGTTAAATCCACTCACAACTGTTTCTAACCCAATGAAATGAATGATTAAAACACATAAAGTACCAACTAAAAAAAAAAAAAAATAGCCAAGTGGCTATTTTTCCTCTAATAAACCTTAATGGACTTTTTATACCGTACTCAGGAATTAACTAGTAAACTCAAAATTAGAATTTAATTTCTTTTATTGTAATAGGCTATATGGTACGTTATGCTTGAGAAATGTTCATAATTTTTGTCTTGAGTTAGTGGTTTAATGTATTCCATTAAGGTAAAATTAAACTTAGTTACACTACACTTTTAACTAATTCTAAAAAAGTGCCAGATAATGAACTAAGTAAAATTGTGATAGATGGTCTATCGCGGAGGTTTTAAAGAAGCAGGATGTTGTTTGGGTAAAGCTACCCAAAGAGCAACATGTACACAGCTCATGAAAGGGAATACTAAAGCACTACAAATAAAAAACGACAGAGTAATTCACCCAACTTACCCATTTCCCCAGCTTTCAGCCAAATGTCTTCGAGCACTTCTAGCTGTTGCTCATCTGGAAATTCCTCTTCAAACTCTAATTCATCCATAACTTTTTTCACATCAGGAGGTATCTCGACTTTAGGTGGGATTTCTAGTTTCGGCTTACGAACTGAGGGCTGTCTCTTTTTCCCGCCTCCTTCCAAGAAAGCTGCTGGAATCTCTGGATTACTGCACAAGACACAAGAGTCTGGTAATAATGTTAAAAAGATTTAATAAATAATGTAATTAAAAAAAATTAAAATACTGGCTATGAGAGAGCACAAAACATAAAAATGAAATAGAAGAAAGAAAATAGAAAAAGTAAATCCAGTGAATTTAGATAGTTAACGTTTCAAGCATCATTTTACAAAAGTGTGGATACCAAGGTAAGACACAATCAATTTTCAAAGTCAAATAAGGATGGTAAGAAAGATGATTTTTAAATCCTAACCTTGTCGTAAACATGGCTCAAACAAATAATACTGTCAGTACGTTGATCTTTTAGGCAATTAGTCTTAGAGAATTTAGAAAATACAAAACACGGTTTTGAGAAAAAAGCTCCTACTAAAAATTAAAAAATTATAATTCATGAGTTTGCCACTGATAAATTTTCAACAAAATGGTATTGACGATTTCTCCTGACAATTTCTCTAATATAGATAGTGTTTTAACACCATATGTTACAACTAAGGCGTGTTTTGATAGGGGGCTGTAAGCAAATTTGTTGTTAGGGATCCAGAAATACTTCAACAACCAAATCCCTCAACGAATCAATATTTTTAATTTACAAAACATTGTCTGCAACAATTTTCCCACGAGACAAGAATAAACTTGACAAACAAAGTCAACCACACTCACGAGTATTATACTGAAATATAGCGGAATTTGAGCCAAACATTACTACAGAACAGAATAGAATACATGATTGTGCACAAAAATAATTCTCTTTCTAATAATAAAAAAATTACACCTCATACTATGAAACCAATTTTGATTTCAAAACAATGCAACATACTATGTGAACTATTTAACGTTGTGTATTAAACGTCTGTTAATAATCATGTACTGGTCAAGGCAATAATTACTTACTTTTTGTTACATAGGATGTCAAGTTCGCTGGGTGCCGGAGCTGCGGACATCTTGTTAGGATCCTCGGGATGAGGGCCGACATCTTTACCTTTAAGCCACAACTCGTATTTCTCTGGCTGAAACCTCTTTACAAACGTATCCATGCTGATTTTCACGTTGTCTGGCCTAAACATTGACACACCGTGTAAAATAATCCAGCCTTTACAAAATGCTGGGTTAAAATGTCAAGAGAACTGGCTCAAAATATTTAAAACATTGGGATTTTAAACATGACTTCATATTTGTAGTAACTAATGTATTTCCTTCCATGTAACAGATGTTTTCAATGCTACTTTACAGTTTTTAGATATCAACAGTAAAAGGTCTAGACGATTAGAAAATGAGTTGAAGAGTTACAAGGGTAAAAAGAGGACTATGTTTTCATAAAACATTTATATTACCAAAAGGAACGTTACTTTCTAAACGTTAAAGCTAATTTCAATTTGTATACAGATTTTATATGTTTTCTAGTGGCTTCAGAGGGATATTATTTTTGTGTTAAATCCATCAACTTGAGGGTTTGCAATGTTGCTTCAAATAGAGTAGGTTACATCAGAATTTCATTCACTCACCGACACATGCACTGCGTTGCTCGTTTTCCATACTCGACCCAGCGCGGGGAGGCAAAGTTCGTGGACTCAGCACAGTTAAAGCCGTGGTTGAATCCTGCATGATAGCCGTATGGGAACGTGATCATGATTTCTCCTGCCTCTTGGGTGATCTGGCAACATTTACATTGATAATCATAAGTCACCAAGCTTTTTTGGTAATATATCAAATGAGGCGTTTGCAACAAAAAGTAGGGGGGTATTTGAAACTCGACTGTAAGTAAAAAACTAGTGGAGAATTATCAGTTAAAAATTATCATCTTGGTTTAGAACAATAAGTCACATAAGTCAAAATAATGTGACAACATTCAGCAAAAAGAAGCAAAAAAGAAAGGTCCACAACCAATTAGAGCAAAATTTGATGATGGAAAAAGTGTTATTGTTGTAATATTTAGAGATTGTTTTTATCAACATAACACATGTATGTGTTAAAACTATTGATCAAACTCACCTTATTGAAAGGAATGGAGTATTTCTTGAGAACATGAGGAGAGATAATTGTCATTTTATGCCTGAGGAATGCAGGGCAGGATTTGCAATTACTTGGAAAGAAACCGTTGGCTAACCTTTCCAGCCGACGACCATGCTCAGGTGGGATGCCATACCTGTGAATACCAAACAAATATGAGATTAGGTTCTAGATTCCAGCTGATGTTATCCCTGAATTGAATTTATCTTGAGATGTGGTTGATTCGGGATTCAGATTTGACAAATCACAGTTATAAATACAGTTATAACGGGTCTAAGGTAAGGATTTGCTCAAAGTTATTTCTACTATAATTTGTTATGTACATTTCACTATGGAACAAAACAAGATATTCATGTACATACCAGGTTTTGGGAGCACCGAAGTGTAAGTAATTAATACTGTATAGATCCATATCCTCCGTATGCCAAGCGAATGTCGTCTTCCACATGCCGAAGTACAAATACGCGGTGTTCACTCCGTCAATGCTGATGCCGTAGTCTTCGTTCACATAGTCCAGTATAGTGCCGAGTCTGTTGATGTTCCACACCTACCAGTGTCAACGAGATGTTAAGCAATTGTTTGAAAATTTCAAAAGTAATTTTTACCAGTTACAAACTACATGTTAAAGGTTTTGAGGCACTTATGGAGGAATTGGGATTTGGGATAGTAGCAATGGTAGTCAATAATCCCCAAATTTATTTCCCCAAGTAACAACTCAGTACGGTAAGAGACTGGTTAAAATAGATACCGTTGCTATTGTGACATCTTTAAAAATATATCTACTGTCTGGTAAAATGTCTTTTATATCAGAATCAATGTCCAACAACTACAATGCTAAACAAGTTATTGAGAAGTAGGCACACACAATTGCCACCGTACAGGTGTATTGCTAGCCTAGTAGTATTTCGGACTTTATATGTTTTTAGGATTCTACACCAAAAAACCTTCATATGCAGGATTAAAATTTCTTCAAAAATTTTCGATTTCACTGAAAAAGAAAATAATACAAACAGATTCAAAAGCCTCCAAAAGACTTATTGATAAGAAACACATTTTATTCTATCAAATAATTTTTAAATTGTAATCTCAAAACATTCATTTGAAATCCAGATACTACCTACAGTAGTTTTACTCTGACCTAACGTTTTAAGATTTTCTGATTTTTTAAAGTTAAAGCAGTCGTTTTTAGTTTTACTATAGGCTCAAGCTGAAGAATTTGATCCTTTGTAATGAATGATTTTAATTATTTAGTTTATAATTTTTTGTTTATGTTAGTTTATTGACGTTATTCAAGACATATTGTCTAAACTTGAATAAAGAATATTTGATTAATTGATTGATTGATTGATACAACATGTCAGAGTGATAACTCACGTGTTCATCAGGGTCAGTGAGAGATCCAGAAACATCGGCACCATATATCGGAGCAATGTACGTAATGTTCTTCCAATACTTCCTCTCGAGATCTTCATAGTCAAAACTCGGAGGCGTGTTGTATCTAGGATTATCAGCCATCTTCTTATATTCCTGCACTGACATTGACTTCTTTGTGATGTTGATCTGCTGGTAAAGGCCTTGTTTACCAGTTACCACCTATAACAAAAATAAGATAAGTATTGTAGGCTACACAAACTGATTGCAAAACAAAAGCTGAAGATTTGTTAAGAATAGTTTAAAGACAATAAAAAAGCTTGTAGCAAGTATCAATACTAAATTATTGAAATTTATTGTTGAAATAAATACCCTTCCCACACAAAACTAAGCTTAATTTCTAAATAAGCTACAATTCAAAATCCTGGCCTGGAGCCTTTTCTTGAACAAAACTAAGCTAAATTCTAGATTTAATTATATTTTATTCAGACACATTCAAAAGAGGAGGGAATTTATTTCAGATTCAAGCCTTGTGTGACTTGGTCCAATGAGTCTTAGACTACAATAAACAGAGACTAAATCGGTTAAAGTTTTAGAAGCAACAAAATAAGCATTTTAGAGTCATATGTCTGGAAAAAAAACAAGCATTGGGCAGCAACTAATTTTTCCTTCATGAAGGAACATAAGAGCAACAAACTTAATTCTTTACACTTTTAATATTTCCCTTACTGGTGGGTGTCGAATACGTAGCTTTTAGATTCAAAATGTTTGGTTTTATATATTTAACTAAAAAGGGGAAAAAATTTGTCAAAAAGCTAAATCCTGATTTTGAGATTGGGCCTAGTTAAAAACTCTCCCCACGAAACCTTCCTTCAGATGTAGATTCAATACTTAGACCCAAATTTAAGAAAAAAATCAGAGAAATTGTCTGGCTAAAGAAAGCATTATAAATCCTATGGGCGTTTATAAATACGTATAAGAATTCAAAGAAACAAAAATCTAAGCATCTTTAAGTTTAATGGGAAGGTTGTATGCCTAGGTCTTTCTTTGAATACCATTGTAAAAGTTACGTTTAATCATTGATAAAACATACTACCTACCTTAGTAGATTTCTCATCCTTATGAAACAGCTGAAGACGATTTTATTGTTAGTTATGTACGGTGTACTGCCGAGGTCGTGTTTTGTATACAATTTTGTTGTTGTTATTTCAGTCATTTAAGATCTCGTTTAGCCAAAAAATACAATCCAATCAAAAACAATAACTCGTCCCCTAGTTATATAACAAAAAAGTAAAGCACAAAAAAAAATTAACCCTAAAATAATAGGAACAAAATTTTGTCTACACTAGTGCCCAGTGTTAACAGTACATGAACTGGAAACGAAAAACGAGCTTCAAAATGTACAATGGGATGAGAAGTATACTTGTGCTGGTTAGTCTATGGTATTCACTACAGCAAAATTAGTTACTATATTAAAAATACCTGACAAATTGGAGCGGGGATTGTGACATTCAAGGTGTCCAAATCATAGCCGTTCTTTCTAGGTTTCCATTCTGGTGGTGGTATAACCTGCGGACAAATATGGTAATACTGTTAGATGGCGGTAATAACTTTAATATAAATTAAATAAGAGCAGAATGCTTAACAAATGAATGACAAGGTACAAGTTCTGCCCAATAACCGATCCAATTCTTAAATGGGTCAACGTGCAGTTGATTCAAGGTGTCATAAGGTTAGGGAGGATGACACTCTAAATAATGTCATTCTGAACTTAAACCTTAGACCTTTTTGGATGAAAAAAAGCAAATGATAGGTTTTTACATTGTGAAGTGTATTACTAATCAACTCTAGCAGCAGCATTTAAAAAAAATCTACCATAAATCATATGTCTGTTTTCCATACAAAGGTTTCCCTCCCAAAAACAAGATTTTTAGACCATGCACGGGATTAAAACGGGATGGTGAATAAAAAGTAATTTCTTTTTGTGTCAGTTTATAATGTTTATCTTATGAAAACTAACCCCAATTGATTCAATTGTTCTAGCACAGTATTTTAGCAAGGTTTAAAGAAGTAGGCTACATGATAAAATCATAAAAGTTCACTCCGATTATAACGTGGAATTACATGTTGGGTAATACAGAATTTTTGTTGTATTTAAGCGGCAGGATTTTCTCGACCTGGTAAGCAGGCTTTTTGGTTTGGTTGTTTGGAAACACAGCGATATTTTCTGTCCCTTATTAAGCATTCTTCTCCCATCTTTAGCTCATACTACAGACAGAGCCATCCACCAATTAAGTCCCTAGATTGGTCTTATCCACATCAAAGGTCAAAACTAATGGAGAACCAAAGACATTAATATGTGAAATTAACGGTCCAGCAATTAATATACCAATTTCACTTTGGATGAATAATCAGGGAGTATCCATGTTTACAATTTAGGTTAATTAAAAGTCTAAAATGTAATTGACTATTGGTAGGCCTACCTCATTAATTTAGGTAACATCAAATTTTCATATCTCATAAAGAGAAACGGGTAGTGCCTGGATTAGTGTGAGATTCCTTTCCTACAAAATTAGCTTGGAGAAAATAACGCGACTCAGTGGTTCAGCTACTGTAGCTTGTTAAGAAAAAACCAAGCAAATAGTACCGGTAGGTCTCTCTAGCAAAAATTTTCTTGAGTTTTGAAAAATTCCTTCCTCTAAAATCCATTTGAAATTTCATTTAAGGATTGACATATTAAACTTAAATGCAAAGCCGTATTTATTGTACAAAATATAATAATTTTTCCAAAGTAATTTGTAGGCTATTGAAATAATTTTTTTTAGGCTTGTCAACAAGAATACCTTAGCAAGACCAGCTTTGTGTGCTCCCTTCTCTTCCATGTACAAAATGTACTTGGAGAAATCCTTGAACTCTTCATAGGTCGGCCGGAAGACTTGTATCCGAGGAGCACAGTGGGTGTTCTTTGGCGTATCCATCTTGTCTGTAACAAAACGTCAATGGTTAATAAAACTTCAGTTACAATATAGGCCTATATGTACATATGTTTTATTTCATTTTCTTAAAAAAATTAAAACAATAAATAGTGCACTTTATTTGTAGACTCAGAGCTACAAAGGCTGATACATTAGAACGCCTCATACCTATATGTATACTAATACAATTTGGTAGGTAAATTTGTTTAAATTTGAAACTAAGCTATTAACATCCTAAATATTAATATCCAAACATGTTTCTTGAAAAAAAATTTTCTCAGCTCGTGTGCATCGCAAAAAAAATTGTGGAAAAAATCTACGCATATTGTTAGAAATATATTTTTCTGTAGATGTACAGAACCTATTTACGGTATAAGGTTCAAAAATAAGCATAAAAAATTAAAATTAAAAAAAAATTAGAATTAACAAGGGCGTTATGGGTTGTTATGCCAGTGACAAAATGACAACGAAATATAACCAGAAACGTTAAATTTCTTGGTTTATTATATTAGACAAACACCTTTGTTTTTATGACCATACCAACAGTGTGTGCATAAGGGTTGGTTCCGGAATCTATCCAATTAAAAAAAAAAACTGTCCAATTTTCTGATCAGAATGTCCTTATGACAGCAGCCTATTATGGGGCCATCTTTCCTAATAAGGCATAGGCCCTACACATTGCCGGTATGGGGAAATGAAAATAAAAGAACCCGATTTCTATTTTAACTTCAAAACAGGGCAATTCTAACTAGGGTTCAAAATCAGCTCACGAACTTCCTGCAAAGAATTTGTTCAGTCTTCAAATATTTTAACTTGTCCATGCATATACATTCTTAAAACACTCTCTTTTCTGAAATAGTTATTTGTGTAACTAGTGGGTAAAGTGGCACTTTGCAGCACACGAGAGCAATGTTTACGCAAAGCCGCAGGCGAGTGTGGAATGATCTCGAGTGCAGCAAAGGCCTTTTGCACTCGTGTTACACATTATATTTTTCCTACAGTCTTTATAAAGCATATAAATAATTAGTCTTTCAAACTAGGCTATATACAACACGTTTTTAGGTTAGGTTAAACGTTAAACCCAAGCCATTAACGGAAAAGGAAATACTCAGCTGATTGTAGTTGTAATATCTTTAAGTATTACTTATTTTCAAGAGTACAGGTATAAACAGTAATAATCAGTATAAACACATAATAAACAAGTAGATTGTTCTTCAAAATATGGCAATAAAATATTTTATGATAGTTTTTGTAACTGTCTTACTCACGCGCCAAGAGGAAAACAGTTTGTATGCTCGTTCATACTTCATTCTTGATTTTTCAGGTAACAGGTTTAATGAAACATGTTTTCAGTTTCTGCTAATTCTGTTCTACTAGTATATTCACAATTACTTTCGTTGAGTTCATTATTTTTAAACATGTTAGGCCCACTTATAATCCATCTTTCAAATACTACACTTCAGGTTGTGTTCAAACCAAAGCGTTGAACAAAAACAGAGCATAAACTATAAACACGAAATGACAGGTTAAATCGTAGTTATAATAGTCAATCAGCTGATCATAGTATCATTATCTTTAAGTGTTGCCAACCTATTTCTAAGCGTACACGGATTACATGCATAATAAAACCACGCTGTTTTGTGTTGTTTGGTTAAAATCCTGATGTGCGACAAAGTATAAACCGTACGACAAAGTATAAATATGCAGCAATTAGCAGCTTTCTGTACTATAAACAGTACAAGGAAGCCAACTTTGTTGGGTGACTGTAGGAAAAATAACATTTATATTTTTACAAGTTCCAGATCATGCCCATATTCTTTGCGAAACAATCTTAATCTACAGATCCCAAAGCATCAACCAACCACCGTTTTCAAGAAAAATCTTTATTATTACAGTAGGTATAGACTAGTGCTATTCAATGCATTGCTAAACTATCTAAAAAGTGAGTCAAGTCCTGTAATTAAAAAAAAAAATCACTTTGTAAATTACAAGTGTCTAGAAATGCTACTAGCGTACCACGTCCGTGAGTTTATTGCTAACAGGTACCGGTAGTCAAAGACATATGGTATGCTTTGTTTATGAATTATTAAATACTAGCTGTTGTACCCGTGCATGCAACGGGAAGAGAACATGAAATAGAAACATTTTGATCTTTACATCTGTTGATAAAATAGTTACACATTAGCCTTTTAAAAACAGAATTTTACCTTTATGGCCTTAATAGGATAGCTGTTGTCATAAATGTAAAAAAATAATAGTACTGCACCCTGTTGGTAAACCTTGTAACTTTTTAATGCTATTCAATATCATAGAACCAACTTGTGTAGTTGAAACCGCTGACAAAATTCTTTTTTAAATACGATTACTCATAAGGTTAACATGGGAAACTCCAGAGCCACTGGGGCGGAGCCCGAAAGGACTTTTAAGATAAGAATGCGTCTATATGTTAATCGGGAATGTAAGCTATCATCATACCAAATTTCAGCCCAATTCGAGAGGTATTTTCGCGTTTACTTGTCACAAACATACATCCATCCATCCATACATCCAAACTTTCTCATTTATAATATTAGTAGGATTGTTTAGTTTAAAAGTTGTTTTATAATAAGAAATTATATTTTTAGGACAAATTTTATTTTCTGACTCAGCCGATGCATTTATGTATTTCTGGCCAAATAAATTACTTAATGACTTTAAAAAAATCAAAACAAATGGAAAAAATCCTAATCACATGTTTTATTTTACAGCATGGGGTGAAAACAGAGAAGTCAGTACAGTACAGCTCAATTACATATTTTTGGTCAAGTTCTTTTAGTTAGTTAACTAGCTGTGTGCCCGTTCTACGCATGGGGATCTTATAGTAGTCATGAAACCTTATTATACAAAGAACAACAGTTGGTTTGCATATTTTCAGATGTGCTGGCAAAACTATTATATATAAACCTATTATAATGACATATAAAGAAAAAGCAAAACGTATACAGTAAGACATCAGTTAAATTGAATCCTAAGTAATAAATAAGGTGCAACACTAACGATAACTAATCTGTAAATAGTGATGTGTTGGTACGTAAAAATTATTCTTGTTGATACCACCGGTTTTAAGGAAAAACCCAGTACCAAAAACCAACGTTTACAGTTAAGAACTATAGTACATCCGACCAATTAAATGCGTTAATCCAGTTCCGAGGCTATTGATCTCTCTCTTAGTTTTGGATTTTCTTACAAAAAGTTATCGAAAATCAAAGTTATTTCCCATTAATTGAATTATTTGTAAACAACTTTTAATGTAAACATTTTGGTGACAGTTTGAACAATACAACCTCATCCAAACAGCTTTTTGTTATATAAAAGATTGCGTATTCTCTAAACTATGTTTCGTATATGTAGTTAACATAAGAAGGAAATGTGAAAAAATCACACAATGTTGTATTTTTTAATGTTTTTAATTTGATTTCCTAAGTACGTAAGACATGTATTGTAGGGAAAAGTACCGGTATCAAGGATCATCGTCGAATAGGTTGTCATGAATAATTGGGTAGGTCTACGTACCCAAGATACAGTCTATGGGCTTATTGGCTTTATGGTCCAGCCATTGCAGCACATAGCGGTGAGTAAAACCGAAAGTGACACATTGGAAAAGCGAGTTTAGCATCATCCGTAAACCGGCAAACCTCTGTTACTATCACCCACTGCAGTGATGATTTTTCATTGTACACTTCACTCAACCGCCATTGAAACGCCGTCAATGAGTGAAAAACTTGTTAGTAAGCTATTGGCGACAATGATTTTATAAATTTAAGTTCCCAGCCCTATACAACACTGATTCAAGGTCTTTTTCCCGATTATCAAAACTTCAGAACAATTGTATACACAAAGAATCTCTAATTTCATTTACGGTTACAATACACATTATTGAACTTTCGATTAATTAAATCCTTTATGTAAGGAAAATCTTTAATCTCACTTGGTTTGGATTTTGCTTTCAAAACGTTATTGGAAATGTTTGTGGTGTTTGTAAACAACATTTAATGTAAATATATCAGTGACAGCTAGAAAAATAATCTTGATCCGAACAGCTGTTCGTTATTTCATAGATGATTATGTGATGGACATTGGGAGAAAACTTGACAAAAATTGCACAAAATCAGGTTTTTAAACATCCGTCATTTTATTTTAAAAAATTGTGAGGCCATATTTTAATGTCTAAAGACAATCTCGCCAATCCAGTGAATACAATAAAATAATTTGGATCTTGATAGGTACTCTCGTTTTTCAGGAGAAGGCCGCGTAAAATGCCTTTTGGGCCGTAACAGACAGACCGACAGACAGAAATAGAGATGAGATTTGTTTCAGCTTCTTTAATGTATAAAACGGAAAAATAATCTAAAAATTTATAATTTTGAACAATGTAGGCCTACAGACTAAACTCTAATTTTATTTATATAGATACTGGACTAGGGGCCTACCTCTAGTTTCAATAAAAACACACTTTAATAAATAGTCTAAAGGGAAGGTCCTTTCCCGTAGCAGCAAACCTAAGTACCGGTAGCCTACTCACAAAAATTTATGTTATAAATAATTATTTATGGAAATAAAATGTAAGTTCTAGGTCAAATTTATTTATATATTCCAACGGTTTCTCCATTACGCCTAATACAATTTCGTCTAAAAACTAGATTTACAAGATGGCAGCTCTAAAGATGAAAGTTCTAAAATCGTAATTCGTGCTAATTCAAACTATGAACTATAAATAAGTAGCAAATAATAAGTTAATATCAGTGGTAACAAAAACCGTGCAATAATAATAAATAAGGAAGCTGACAATACATGAGTGGGACCTAAGAACTACGTACCGAAAATAACAACAACGTAGACTATGCCTAGTAATGATTTTGGAACTGAAGATGGATTAAATAAGTTAAGTTACTTGACAAGGGACCAGTAAATTGTACCATCATCTACCGTAGTCAAGATTGATTGATTACTAAGTTATGCAATTTAATCACACCCTTAGGCCAACTAGTTTTGATTTCTGGCACATCCACAAAACATGCGGTAAAAATTTAGAACCTAGACCCCAGCTTATGGCTGCACTTTACTTTAGGTCCTACACTTAAACAACCGAATGAAAATATCTACTATTCGATTGTTTCATTCGATATATCGTTTGGTTAGTTAGGTTAGGTTAACCTTACCTAACTAACCAAATGATATATCGAATAATCGATATATCGATCGATATTTTCATTCGAAAGAGTGTAGGACCTAAAGTAAAGTGCAGCCCAGCTTATAAAAACACTTCCTGAAGTGTAAAATTGTGTAGGCCTAAAAAGTGTATAAAATGAAGTTTTGGAGGATAAGTTAATAGTTAGGGGAAAAGCAATTCCAGTCCCAAATACAATAAAATACTTATTGACTGGAATTTAATATAACCGACCCTAAGCACAGTTCCTCCAAAACTTCAATCTACCGTAGGCCTACACCAATTTTACACAATTCCTCACTTCAAGAATGTTGGATTCACTAAATCGATATGAAAAATTTACAAGGAATATACACTCAATATATAATTTACTGCTCTCTCACTCAAAGATAACCGAAACCGGCACGCACGGAGAGCACCATGTCTTTGGTTTGCCGACAGCGAACCAGCAACTAGCCTACAACGAAAATTAAAATCCCTTCGTCCAACAATTACACATTGATTCTCACATATTTCACCAGGAATCACCCCGTTTCCTAAATGTCCAAACGCGACTTTATAAAAAAATTATAAAATAAATTAAAAAATGTATGTTTGCGCTCAATAAATTGTTATAATTTATAGGTCAACAAATATTTTAAAATAGCCACTATGTTCAGAATTTTATGAGGATTCCAAAAATATAATAATATAAGGAAGTAGGTAGATTTGCAAATAAATAAGTTATGGGCAAAAAACAGATTTCGGTACATAGCATTTAGCTAAGAATGCATAGCCTAACCATAGCTAGGAATCTGGCTGATAATTTACATCAATATCACTACCTACTTCTTCAGGATCATCAACCAGCCCTTCAAAATCACTTAAATCTTCTTATAATGCACCACGTATATCACTACCGGTACTTTTGATTTTTAACACTGAAACAATGATAAACGTAATAAAACACATCAGTCATCGGTGCGAGGTTAACCAAGCTCAACACACAACAAACCAACAAACAACAAATAGGCTACACACAACAAATACGCACGTCAGCTGTCTGCTACAATTATGATCGGCTTGAGAAAAAAAGCGCTTAGAGACAGACCTCGGGAGAAAGCTTAGAATCTGCCAAATAAAACAATACCTAACTCGATCCAGCTCAATCCGATTTTGTCAGTCATAGAGCCTTCGCCGTAAACAGTGTTTGTGAGTCGAAAGATCTACACAAAACACTCGGAGGGTTAAGTACCTAATAACTTACATGAAGTTACTTACTTAGACATATGACATAACTTAGGCCCTACCTGTAGGCCTAATGCATCTGTTAAATAATTTAAATAGCTAACTAAGTTATAGGCCTACATACAAACGGAAACAAATACATAAACTACTGTATAAAACCACTGACGATATTACTATAAGGTGCATCTTGAAGCAAGTGTAAACAAACAAATTAACTTGCCCTTCAATAACTTGACAAAGTGTTTTGGGGCTTAGGTTTAACAGTTAGGCCTAATTTACATTTAAAAATAAATTATTGCACTTAAAATAGCTACTAAAGATGTCATATTGCACAAATATGCCAACACGATTTTTTTACCAACTAAGAAGAAAACATAAACAAAGACAACAGCCTAGGCCTATCTAGGGGTTGGGATTAGTTTTGACAACTTTTATTGAGCTTGGTTTCAAATCACAGCAATAAATTATTTGCACTATGATCTAGTATAAGAATCAACCTTATATATTGTATTAGTTTAAGTTAAATCAACAGTTTCAAAGGGGGAGATAAAAAATTCACTTATGTCAAATTAACAGCTTACCACTATGTCTCCCCAGCTAGATGTAGCTAGGCTCCGGCACACCACCTCCGTACAAATAAATAGTCACAATCACAAGATCACTTAACTTAGTTACTTGTCGTCCACTACGTAAGTTCAAAACATGCACGATTGATCACAATAATCGCCTTAAAATTCGCTAAACGAAGCATATTTATGCACAAATAAACAATAATATACGTTGCAAAACCTGCGATGGGAGAGAGTACGCAATGGTAGTTTTCTCTCCCCGACGAGGACGGATGACGAGACGAAGAAACGAACAGAACACGAACAATGTTGTGGCTGTGAGGTAATTACTTTCAGTCGCTGCCATCAGTATATCGTCGTTGTACTAAAAGTCACGTAGGCCACAAAACAGTTTTAAATAGTTTTTTATTAGCATCAATCAGTATTTTTAAATATGAAAACATATAGTCCAAATTACAATTTCATTTTTAATATAAGGTACCTATATAAATAGTTTTAAAAAGTACTCTACTCTTAAACCAAACACAAATGCCGTAGCAAATTTTGTTTCTCCTCCCTACACGCATTTCTTCTACTGAATATTGCCTTGTGTTGGTTAGTCTATGATATTGCATATTAACTTACAATCCCTGTTCAAGTAATATTAAATAATTATATAGTCAAGGTATTAGCACTTATATTAAAAATGCCGGTAAAATTTATTTGTTTATTTACGGTAGGTATTCAATGATTACACTGCGGGGGTGTGTTATTCACGCCACAAAAATTTTACGGATTTGGATGGTGTGTGCTTCTTTTCGTTTAAAATTTCACTGAGTGTAGACACTTAACAGAAGTCTTTAACTTTTAAATAACAATAATTAATGGCCTTAATCGTCCAATTAAGTGCAACAGAAAGGCAGCTGATTTTTATTTTGCCCTCATCATAAATCAAATCCAATCAAAATCTCTTTATTCCTTAATTAATGTTTATTTATTTATTGCTCTTTACAATTTTTACATTGTGTAGCATTTTTACATTGTGTGATTCTATTATTTATAATTACATAATTACATAGGGGTTATTTTATAAAATTACACTTTATTAAATTTAACTTGAAACAAATTAATCAATACATTAAGAAATGGAGGAAAACTAAAAAAACATTATACATTTATCAAGAAAACCTTAAAATATTTAACTCATAACCCCTGGGGAATATAATACTATGGCCCTTAACTCCAACGGTGTGCAGTGAACTCATCCACCGAATAGAATGCCTGATTTATTAAGTCACGCTTCAGTTTCGTTTTGAATAGAAGGGAACTTTCCAGACTTTTAAGCCTTTCAGGAAGACAGTTGAGGAGTCTGACACCTACTTGAGAAGGAAGTTTCTCAAATGCAGCTGTTCGGTGTTGGACAGTGCGAAAACTTTCCCTTGCTCTAGTCCCGTGGCTGTGCACAGCAGTGCCTTGGATAGGCTTATGTTGAAACCGGCAGTATACAGCCGTTTCCAACATATACAGGGAAGGTAGGGTCAAAATTCCAAGCTCCCTGAATGCTTGTCTACACGACTCTCTCCGCCTCAGATTTGCAATTAATCTGATGGCTCTTTTTTGAAGCCTAAATGCCCTGTTAAAATTTTGTCTGGCACAACCCCCCCACAATCTTAATCCGTAGGAAAGATGGGGATGAATGAGGCCATAATAGGCCATGACCAAAACTTGTGTTGAACATAAAGGCTTGAGATTACGCAAGGCAAAAACCCCTTTTGCAATTTTTGGACAGATGCTATCTACATGATTTTGCCAGTTCAGCACTCTATCCAAGTGCATCCCTAAGAACTTTGTGGAATCAACCTCTTTCAGGCAGGTTTCATCCATCATTACAGTTGGCGTTGTCTCGTCGTTACGGTGACGAAGGGAAAAATTTATGTACGTCGTTTTTGACTGATTCGTGTTTAAATTTTCAGACTGAAACTTTTGGATGCATGCGTTCAAATTGATAAAACTTTCAATTTCAAGACTTTCTTGGGATTCTGATTGAAAATAGAGAGTCGTGTCATCTGCATACTGTATGACTTTTCCGCCGACCATAGAGGAGCGGAGGTCATTAACATAAATTAAGAACAAAACTGGACCAAGGATTGAACCCTGTGGGACCCCTTGACAGACCCTTAAGGTCTTTGATCTGCAAGTCGACACCTGTACGTACTGGGTCCTACCCTCGAGGTAAGATCTAAGCCACATAAGTGGGACTCCACGGATGCCGCAGAGCTCCAGTTTCCTTAACAGTATGTCGTGATCAACACAATCAAACGCCTTTGAAAGATCGATGAAGACACCAAGTGTCTTTTTTCGATTCTCTAGTCCTTCAATTACATCTTCAATAAATTTATTTACAGCGTCTATCGTGGATTTTCCTTGTCTAAATCCATATTGATTTTCTGAGATAATATTATGTTTTTCCAAAAAGTTTTGAAGCCTAGTGAGAAAGATCCTCTCAAATATTTTACTCATAACTGGTAAGATTGAGATTGGGCGGTAATTATTTAAAATTTGTGGATCATCTTTTTTATATATTGGAATGACTTTTGCAATTTTCAATGCAGATGGGAAAGTTCCTGACTGAAGTGACAGATTGATGAGTTTTGTCAATGGGATCAGTATTGGCAGATAAATTTGCTTAACTGTCCACATTGACATGCCATTAATATCGTCAGATTTTTTTGATGGAAGATCATGAATGACCCGTGCAACCTCAATCTCACTGACTGGAGCTAAAATCATTGATGATACCGGATTGGGCCAGAAATGACTGTTAAGAGGTGTTGGGTTTTGTTTTAAGTTACATTCGCCAACTGACTGGAAAAAAATATTGAAAGCATTGGCAACATCCTCTGGGTTATTCACAAGGTTTCCATTGACGTTTAGTGCAATTGGATTGACTTTTTTATCGTTTTTTATATTGTTGATAATACTCCATATTGTTTTTGAAACGTTCTCTGAATTTTTTATTTTCTTATTGATAGCATAAGCCTTTGCTGCTTTAATAACCTTCCTATAAATTCGTTTGTATCTTTTAAAAAATATTTTGAATTGCTCATCGCTGGTTGTTTTATATATCAGAGAATAAGATTTTATATTTTGTCGTGAAATCAGAATTCCTTGGGTGATCCAGGAATTCTTTGTATTCTTTATTTTCTTTCTACACTTTTTTAATGGACAGGCTACATCAAGATTATAAATTAAAACTTTATTAAATGCATTAAAAGCTTCTTCTGTTGATAGAAAACTATCTATAAATGTCCATGTCTCTTTAGTGAGATTTTCATTTAAAAGAGATATATGACTTGGGGACATGTCACGTTTCATACTAATAAAAGGGGGGTCAAGTTCCGGTAAACATTCTCCGATAATTGTCTCCTGAGCAAAGTGGTCAGATATAGCAGTTTCAATTACAGTAACATGACTATTGGGCACGTTGGTGACGACGTTATCAATGGCAGTTTTAGTGGTGGCAGTCACACGGGTAGGTGAGTCCACCGACCATTGGAGTGAATAGGTCATGAGTATGTCCTGAAACTGTTTAGTCACAGGGTCATTTTTGTTCAGGACGTCTATATTAAAGTCCCCTACAAGTACAAATAATTTCTGCTTAGACACTAACTTACATAATAGACTATCAAAATGCTCAAAAAATATCTCTGCCTTACTACTAGGGGATCTATAAAGACCTATAATATTGACAATTCCTATTTTACTGAGATTTACTTCAATTCCACTCAATTCAAAATTAAGATCAAAAGCAAATTTATTTAGAGAGAGTGGTTTATATTTTAATCCATTTTTAACAAAAACAGATATTCCACCACCTCTGTGAGTTTTGCGTTGATACGACTCAGCTGTTTGTTACATGTCAGATGTTACATGTTTGTTAAAAATTGTGTGTGTACAGGGAAAATAATTCCCAAGTAGACTATCCGTCTGTGTTTGGGAATGAGTTGCTAATACAGCTATACACAGGTCCATAAACATTCAGGAGTACTTATAATGATGATAGTAAATAAAAAAATATAACAAGAACAAAAGAGAGAAAAAAACCCTAATTTCAACGAAACATCCAAAATTCAAATGTAGTGATTGTAAGTGGTATTTAGCAATGAAGGAAAAAAGTGATTTGGTGACGCATGAAACTGCAGAAATTTATGAGTACAACGATTTGAGTAATCCTTCTGATTGCTCCCTGCCATTTAAAAGCCAGCTCATGACTCTACGCTTAAACACAGCGATACCAAAGTAAATACCTAAGTAAGTTACATCACATAGTCCTATAATCCTATAATCACGGATATATTCCAAAGTCATTTATTCAGCTAGATTAACAAGTATTTTGCATTGACTAAGTCTTAAATAATAAAATATACATTTATTTTGAATTTAAATTAAGTACTAAAAATACAATTAATTGTACATGTTCATGTTGTGACACTACAGCTTTCGACATCAAGACTAAGGTCGATTCACACACATCAGTTACGGCACGCCACAGTCCAGTCACTTCAGGCACGTCACAGTTAACAAAAATATTCTATAATGGATTTTCTATCGCGCTATCTACATGATCTACACTTATCCGTTGCAGTCCCGTCAGTCACTCTGCTGGCATCCGTCAGTCAATTTCAGATTTCTTTCCAACGATACTTTTTGATTGTTCGGACGCCTGACACGGAACTGTTTGAGGTTAGAAAATAGTGTTATTGTTATTTAAATGGTTGCGTTTGTATTTTGAGTACTGTTTGTAACAATCAACAAAATGGACAATGATAATTTAATAGAATATAGGTTTAAAATTTAAATTTTTTGACTGTAAATTACTGTAAATATTAGAGACGGAAGGCTGACTTAAACCAACTGACGGACAATTGACTGAGAAATTGCTGATGCAACTGTCACAGGACTGTAACTGGACTGCAACTGGACTGTAACGGAACTGTGACTGGACTGATGTGTGTGAATCGACCTTAGAGCCTTATTATGCGCGGCCACTCGAGTCGCGCGCGACCGCGACTGCCAGTCGCTACCCCAAGCGACAGGTGTGGCTTGGGGTAGCGACAGGTGTGGCGAGGCCATGCGACTGACAGATTTTTTTCAGACATACATGTAGTTTCTCAGAGTGAATAAGTAAAGAAGCTGAATTATTTATTTTACTTTTACTTAAGCGTCGTAAACAAAGACGAAACTAAAGTATTGGGAGTCAATCCGTTACTAAAAGTAAGACCTCAAGGGTAATTTTCAGTTTTTATATGATTATTTCAGAGATGACGACAAGATGTATTTTGGTTGTTTCCGGGAGACGTTCTTTTTAGGAAGAATATAAGGCGACTTATCCGTATCGCATAAGAAAATTAATAATTTTATTTCAGCTAAGGAGAGGCAATCACTTACCTCAAATTAAATATTATAATGGTTTTGACTTGATTTAATCGTAATACTAATACAATATTAGCAGCAAAACTCGGCGTTGCCCGGGTCAACATATTCACAATAGTGGTAATAATTGAGTAATACAGACAGTATCTTGAACTTAACTGATTCAAATGGTGTTAGCATCTCAAATGAAAGCCTTTGATTTGAGGGATAGTCCCATTTTAAGTCTAAGACATGTAGAATAACTAAATACCCCCGCCGCAGCAAACCTGCAGACTAAGCGAATTTCCATTTGACTGATTGGATTTACACTGAAATGTCTACTTAAAAATATAACATTTATTCTCTATTTAAATAGAATTAGTTTAACTAGTATACTTAGGTTTGCTGCATCAGGGAGGGTAAAACTGTTTTTTTTTTTGTAAAACGTTAATAGTTAGTAAGAAATAAAAACATTTTCCAAATTTGATCAAAATATGTTCATAAACAAGCAAACTACAACAATTTACTTATTCTCCATAAGAATAACATGGGAATTTTAAATTTACAATTTTTTGGAATTTTCTCCGTAACCATTAGGCGCATAATAACGCTTCAATATACTAAATTATTGGTTTTTTTAAGCTCTACAAAATGGTTTGGAAATAAATTGCTAAATTTTATGTTTTTTGGGTCAAAAATGGGAAAAACCTATTTTTACCCCATAAAACCCCCCGTAAACCCCCGTTCCCATGGTCCGATCATGCTGGATCGCGAACTCGTTCGAATAAACGTAGGTTTACACGATTGTACCAAATTTCATCAAAATCGGATCATTTTTGCTCGAGTTATCGTGCTAACGGACACACATATATATATATATATATATATATATATAAATATATAAATATATATATATGAATTTGAACGGATGGTGTTTTTGGCCTCTAGGGACCTCAAAATGAAAAAAAAAATCGGTCCCGCGTCTAGGTCTTACCATGAGTACTACGGTAATAGCTTATTCCCTATATGGGAAATTCGCTAAAATGGAGTTACGTACCATTAATTGCAGATAAGTGTTAAAATAATAATTATTATTGTTGGTTCGTGATTCAGTAGCGTGCTTCACGTACGTCCGATCTTAGTAATTAATAGCTCAAAATTAAAGTTGGCATTTTACTGAATGTTCTTAGACCAAAACATATAGGATAATAATCACAACTGGCGAAATACGGCTTTAATTGAAGTAAGAATTTTAAAAAAAATCTGATTGATTTGTTTGGTCGAATAATACAGTAGATACATGAATGATGATGCTTGGTGGCAAATCTGTTCGTGAATACCTTTAATTTAAGGCCAAAATTATAAAAATCGGTCAGGTAGAAGAGCCGAACCGACTCGGAAAAGAAAACCAATATTTATTAATATATGAATAATATAATTAATATAATAAATTGTTGAAACAAATATCAGGACTGAGGCGAGGGCAGAGAGTAGGGTCCGCTGTGGCCCGCGACTGTGGCCGCGCGTAATAAACAGCATATGATAACATGGCCCGCTGGTGACGCGACAGTCGCGTGGGCTCGCGACTAGTAGCGAGGGTGCGCGACTGGAGTGGCCAGTCGCGGCGACTGTCGCGTGCCTCGCCACCGCAGTCGCGTCGCTTAATAAGCTCCATATGATAACATGGCCCGCTAAAAGTGGCCTTTGAGCAGTCGCGGTCGCGCGCCACTCGAGTGGCCGCGCATAATAAGACTCTTAACGGTAAAATCCCGGACGCTGTAGCAGACCATTCTATCGAGAAGGACTTTGGACATTTCCTGAGTTTTCCGATGTCCTGTTCGGCTTTCAAAGGGAGAAAGGTCGGCTTTCAAAATGCAGAACATTTTTTTTCTGTATTGAATTGGAAGTTTTTCTTAAAGAAAGTGGTTGAGTGTTTAGACATTCATTAGACCATCATATTAGAATGGTACCGACAAAAATAATTAAATAAACAAAATTAAATTTTAAAAATTTATTAACAAATTTTTGTTTAAAGAAATACTTGCAGTTTTGTAATTTGTACTTTTTTTAAATTTTGGATTTCATTCGTTGTTTTTTTTATATATATTTTAAATATGATTATTCCTTGGTTCTGGACATGATTTTCTAACATCAAGCTCAATTTTATTGAAAAATAAATGATTTTGTTTAAACTGGTTAAACATTTTAGAACCTAAGACACGCATTCAAGTGAATTGTTAAGTGGCATCGGGGTTTTCCAAAAAGTTGGAAAAAAGGAGACAATTAATTATTAAACTATTTTTGCAACAAAAAAAATAGGGATTGACATTTTCTCTTCATAACTCGCTTTTAATGCTAAGAAATTTTATAAAAAAAGATAAAGATTTTAAATATAATTTAAAAAGTCTTTAAAATTTTCCCCGAAACGCATTTTGCTTTTGGTTATAGTGTACCTACTTTAGAAGCTTTCCATTTTTTGCGTTTGAAAATACCAATCAACATTCAACAAGCAACAGGTCTGCATTATATTATTAATACACGTTTTTAAAACAAGCTATAGAATATTTTGCTCTCAATGGGTATTTCGACTAAATGCATATTTCCCCAGTAATTCGTAAAAAGTCGTCTGAAATCGTATTTTCACAGAACAAAAGTTGCTTGGAATTATTAGTAAAACTACCTGATTGTGCACCTATTTCTCATGAAAAATTTCTCACCCCCCGAGAAGTGGTGGCGACCAATCCAAGAGGAAAAGTAACCTCCGGCACAGGGTGGATTTTGAAATAGAGTTTAAGTGTAGATCCTAAATCAAATTGTTCATTAAAATAAGTGCTGTATGATGTGATAATTACACAGATTACACTTTTTTATCGTCATTGGCAGGACTAAAACGAGTCCTTAAAAATCTTTTAAATCCGTATATTATGGATGTTAAAAATCCGTTCCCTTTCAAAACGTAAAATACCCCCGCCGCAGGAAACCTGCAAACTAAGTGAATTTCAACTTTTCTGATTACATTTTTAATAAAATATTTCCATAAATAAGACATATTTATTCCTACTTTGTGGTATAAATAATTAAATTAAATAAATTATTAATTATTATTAAATAAATAATAAATAAATAAATTAAAATAAATTTGCCAATTTGATCAGTATATATCCATTAACAAGTATACTACAACAATTTTAATTTTCTTCTAAAGAATGTAATATAGGAACAGCGCTTCAATATACTAAATTATTTGATTTTTTAAGCTCTACAAAACGGTTAAAAAAGAAATTGCAAATTTTTTGGTTTTTTTTTGGGTCAAAAATGGGAAAACCTCATTTTTACCCCATAAAATCCCCCATATAAACCCCCGTTCCCATGGTCCGATTATGCTGGATCGCGAACTCGTTCGAATAACCGTATGTTTACACGTTTGTACCAAAACTCATCAAAATCGGATCATTTTTGCTTGAGTTATCAAGCTAACGGACATATGTATATGAATTTGAACGGATGGTGTTTTTGCCTCTAGGGACCTCAAAATGAAAAATTAAATCGGTCCCGGGTCCAGGTTTTACCATGAGTACAGTACTACGGTAATAGCTTATTCCCTATGTGGGAAATTCGCTAAAATACCACTGGCGTAAAAACACACAACACATTTCAAACAAAAAACTATACCTCTACAGTGCACCGGACAGAACAATAAAATTGGCTTAAGCTGTTCCATATAAGGACGAGAAATCTACGCGGGGCCAAGATACAGGAGCAGGAGACAATTAATTTTGGCTCCTTGAAAATAATGGCAAGCAGCTATAGTGAACGCTAAAGAGAACAATTATTATGTTCCCTAGATCTGCTGTATGTAGATAGACTTTTATTAATTTACTATTAGTAACTGGCTACATAAACATAACTGTAAAAAATCCATCAGTTCAATGTATCACAGATTTTGGTTTCTGCTTGATACAAAATTAGCTGTTATAAATTTAAACAATAAATAGTGCTGCACCCTGTTGGTAAACCTATTAACTTTTAAACGCTATTGAACTTAACAGAATCAGATTCTTTAATTCAATTTAAATATAAGTACACCTACTCATAAGGTTAACATGGGGAAATCCCAGAGCCACTGGGGTGGAGCCATTTGGGCGGATCACGAAATTGATGGTGTATAAAAATAAACCTATTCCATGGAACTCTACACGTATATGTACCAAGTTTCGGGGCCATCGGCCCAGTGTTGTGTGAGATTATCACTGCACAAACATACAAACAAACAACATCCTCTTTTATATATATATATATAGATAAAACATACTACCTTGGTTAGTCTATGATAGTGTCATAGACTAAATGACTAAACCAAGAGATTAAATGAGTTATGAGTTACTAAACAGCTAGTTGTATCTATGATAGTGTATAAATACAGAAGCATAACGCTATCAACATAAAATTCATTGTCTATTTAACGTTGGCACAACTGGGTTTTGACAACGTCATATGTTTCCAAAGGAATTTAGTATGTCTGTCGTCGTCGTCTTGTCGTCGTCGTCGGCTCAAACAAAATCGCGTTGAAATGTCCTGAAAACAAAATATTTGTTCATCGCACGGACTTCTTTGGAAGATTCCAACAAAGCGATGGCTATCGGGCAGGTACCTTCAAAATCTTAACTGAGGCTCAGGTAAATATTAACTCAAAATTAAATAAAAATTATGGATAGCTCAGAGTATGAATTGGTAAGGAATATGACCTTACTATTTTTCTTTGAAAGACTAATGGATAAAGGAGGTCCTAGAACACTTCATGACTTAAGTTGTCAGTTCGGTGCTAAGGGGTTTACTAAAGAAATGCGACAGATAGCTGGTGGCTCTCAGTCAGGACTGAAAAAATTTTTAGCCCAGTACCCTTCATTGTTCATTGTGGATGGGGATTATGTTTCCATAAATTCATTTATGTCTAACCACACTGAAGCTGAAGATACAAATTCCAGTAGTAGACCAAACTTAGGAAAACGTGACTACGTCCAAGAAGCCGTTGAATATTTTTCGTCAAAGTTGAGACAATATGGTGTAGGCACAGAGGTACCTATAAAAAGTCTTCTTGGTCATAGATCACAAGCCTCACCTGAAGTGCGCCATATATCAGGACAACATGTACGTGAATTCCGTGATTTCTTGTGCAAATATCCTGAAGCATTCATCGTCAGTGAAGATACAGTGATGTTAAAGGAATATGAAGGAAAAGAGCCTCAGCCATTTTGTGAGTTAGAAAATGTTAAGTTGGACCCTGATGTTACGTATCGCTTGTTGGATTTTTTCAAGAAATGCATCGAAGTTAAAGGACCTATGCTTGTAGATCAACTGTTTCACCATGTCGTCTCTTTCTTTCCTCAGGACTTGTGGTTTGGAATTTTCAAGACTTCTCAAGATCTATCAACATTTCTAAAAATGCACTCAAATATGTTTACTGTTCAGGCCAATCTAGTGAATATCATCCAAACCCCAAATAAGGTCGCAGAAATCAACTCCATTAACAAACCAAATGTCGATAATAAGTTTGTTGATAATGATGCAAACACAATCATTAATAACAATCAAAATAATAATATGGCCAGTCTAAAATTATCACCCTTGAACCAAGAGTCAAATGAGAAGGGATCAGTGTCAAGTGCTGGTGTGCCAAATCAAAATCTCAGCCTTAAGCAGAGAATCAATTCATTAGTGATGAAAACTTTAGCTGACAATACGGAGAAGGATCGAAATTTAGCAGCGGCCTCAGTCAACAATGGCTTAGGAGCAAATAACACGGACAATTGGAAGAATAAAATTGTACAGTCAACAAGAGTTATAGCAAACATAAAGGAATCATTGCAGATTATTGAAGAAGTGATGAGAAAATCACCCTCAGCCATTTCATTTGATTGTGAAGGAATAAACTTAGGGATTAAAGGACAGTTGACACTTTTTCAAATAGGTCTGCCATCAGGTCAGGCATACATTTTTGATCTGATAACATGTCCTTCCTTAGTCACTTCAGGCGGACTGCAGAAGCTGTTGGAATCCGACAATGTAATCAAGGTAAAGTTTATGAGTTCTTTACACAAGTCTAACCATTTTTTTTTTTTTGCCTTACAGATGGACCTTGTCTCTAAACTTAAATTTACTTAATAAATAGACCTACTCATTAACAAATTCATGCGTGACTTGTGTGTTGCCAGGTTTTCCTAGATCCTGAATACAAACTGTAAACTGTAATGACCTACATTTTATTAAAAATTCAAACAACTTCTGAAATACCATAGATTAACTAGGTAGGATATGCTTGCTTAAGTTGTAAGCCCTATAGGTAGGGTAAGTTCAATAAAAAATACAACTAGACACTTTTAAATGTAAAAAATGGTTCAAGTTTTATAGCCTATGACTCATGTTACTGTAGGCTGCCAAAAATAATTCATAGAACATGTTTGTATATTACAGGTAGGCCTACAAATATTATCAAATTGAAATTTTGTTCATGTAGCTATCCAGAATTCTTTTAAAAGATGATCAAATAACTAGGGTTGATCTTAATTAAGCTACAGTACCCCAAAAATGGTTTCCACCCTTCCTTTGAAATAGCGAAGTAACACTGTAGGGGTAAAACCTAAAATCTCGTTTGAGCTTGAATGTGAAGTAATGTCTGGACAAACCCAAATGTGGGACAACGCTAACAACTTATTGTAGGCTAATTCAAATAATAAAGCCTGGTTACACTTGGCAAACTTATTTGTATTGTAACATATTTTCAATCTGTTAACAGTGTATAGTCTATTTAGCTAATTGCTTTCATCAAATAAATATGATTTATTACAATTTTTGTTAGGCTAGTTGCCATTTTGCGTAATAACCTATAATAAACTGTTTCAGGTGATTCATGACTGCCGCAACGACAGTGTCAACCTCTACAACCAGTTTGGCATAACTCTGAGAAATGTTTTTGACACTCAGGTATTCTATAAGCCTATTTTTTCCAATGTTTAAAATCACAATTTTGTTACATGTTTAGATCAGCTAGGAATGGAGTTAAAATCATATACCAAAATTTAAATAACCTTTACTGGGTGTATTGCATGCCCCAACCACTGAAGTCTTAAAAGTCACTCTTCCTTTTATCAGGAGCTCACAGATAATACTCATTTGATCTAAAATCATTTTAAGCCAAACGAGGTGTTAGCCCGTCCTACGTACGGGAATTCAGTAGTCAGTTAAAACCGTGTAGGCCTACAATTCAGATCAGCTAGTTTACACATATAAAGACAATGTTTCTTGCAGTTTTAATGTGAAAAAGGTACTTATTTAGGGCCCAGACCCCAGCTTAAAAACACTTTCTGAAGTGTGAAATTGTGTAAAAAGTGTATAAATTGAAGTTTTGGAGGATAATAATTGGGGGAAAAGCAATTCCAGTCCTAAATATTCTCTAAATATTCTAAATATTCGTGAAAAATCATCTTGTAAATAAGTGTTGTGTGACCAAATATGTTTTTATTCCATCATAGGCCTATACGATATGCATTTTAAATCCGACAATTTTAAAATAAAACAGCAATTTTTACGATGTGAAAAGCGTTGAAGTGAGATTTGCAGCCGATTCGCACAGACGCACACTGATTATAAGTAGCCTACAGTAGAGAGTAATATATACACTACATACTACTAATAGTCAATTGAGAAGTGTATAGACCTATTTAACGATACCACCTTCCATAGCATACCTGCGTCTTCCATAATTATTATCACCACAATACAACTACTATATCCAGTGGGTCTGAATAGAAACTACCTAAAATAAAACGATTGTATCCAATAAAATTCACAGTACACATAATATAACTTTGGTGTCCTAACATCAAAACTAATCGTTACACCTATACTTTATAATAATTTCACTGCATTTATTGTTAAATAAATAAGCGTAAACAAAGAAAAGTAAAAACAATAACAGTTTGTTTTGAAACAGCTGTTTGGTTCAAATAACATTCATTTGAAAAAAAGAACTGGTCACATGTAGCAGGAATATAAAAAGTAAACACGCTAGTAAAGCTAATAACGTAATTGGCAATGTTTATTATCCATACCGTTATCAGTTTTATCCTTGATAATTACCCACCCTCATTGAATAAATGTACATCGTAATTTCCCATATTAGTTAATTTAAACTACAATATATTCATAGTTGAAATAAAAGTGATATTTTCACGTTTGGGGGCGCCTATATCAGCGCCCCCAAACGTGACCACAACTGAACACGATTTCATAAAAGGATGGTTTTTCTAATTGCAGTATCCTAGGTCAATGTTGACGTTGTGTTCAATCTATGTCATCCATCTGTTTATCTTTGTATAAAACCCGGCTGAGGTTGTGGTGGTAATTTAAAATCGTGATTCCTGATTATTCTTGATCTTCTTTTTATGTCATCAATATTTCCGGGCCTAATCCAAACAAAGTTAAAGCAGACAAACATTATTTGTAAACAAAAAGCTACCATGAAGAATTAAAACATGTAAACATTGTTATTTTTCTAATCTTTCCTTGAAAAGTGGAGCTGTAAAATAATTTGCATTTATCTTTTTTTATTAAGACTCCTGTACAGAGCCTCGATTTGTACTGTGGTTTAATTAATTTTGGTTAATACTGTGGTCTAATTATCTCTACTAATCTTACTTATTTCCTATAATCAATGACAAAAATAAAATAACCTCATAGTTCTATAGTTTATATTTAACCAGCTGTTAGTTAAAACAAATTATATTGCTCTAAAACAAATCGAAGATTACAAAGATTGCTTTAAAAAATAATTTGAACATCCTAGTATTTTACTATGTATATTTAATTAATCTGTCATCCTCTTGCAGAAGAATTTAACGTATCAATGATTAGCATTACACATAGTATAAATAAGTCAACCCTAAGAATGTCTTTACATTTTTATCCAAATGCTGAATTTGTGACACAAAAGCTGAATGTTTACAGCTGTTATGTTAAGCAAATTATTTTATGCCAAGAGCTAGTTTAGAATCTTAGCGTCGGCTGCTAGACTTTTTAAAAATTAAAACTTAATTTTTAAAAAACTGGGACCCTAAACTAAAATTATGGCTTCGACATTCCCTAGTTCTCAAAATTATCTTTCTTTCAACACAAAAATCATGAAAATCCGTCGAGTGGTTGATTCAGAATCGTGAAATAAAAAAACACCGTTTCGTTTTAATATTATAGATATGTTCGTAATTTGTTTCCAACATCTAAAATAGCCGAAGTAAAATTCAGTAGCCTAAGTAAACATTTTCATAATTTACTTAGTTTTTAATCAGCTCATGTTTCTGAGTTCAGGAAACTTTCTTTAAAACGGATAAATAACGCCCAATACTTTACGACCGGTCACTGATAAGTCACGAATGTTTGTTTAGACACCCTGTTATAAAATAATTGCAGTAAGGCTTAGGCCCCATTGATGCATGTCTCTGTTTGAAGAACATTTGAAAACTACAACATAGGGATTGTGAGCTGTCTATTGCTACCACACTAGGCCTTGCAGAAGCATTCCTACACACTGTTTCATTTTACAGGCGGCCCATGCTGTACTGCAGCTCCAGCAGACTGGGAAACCTGTGTATAAGGTGAAAAACATCAGTCTTAACGCTCTGTGTGAACTCTATGAAGCTCCCATCAACCCCATGAAGGAGCAGTTGAAAAATGTCTACCGTCGAGACCAGCGGTTCTGGGCGCGCCGACCTCTCACTCGGGAAATGATGATGTTTGCAGCGGCCGATGTTCTCTCTCTGGTGCCACATGTGTACAACGCCATGCTCAAGTATGCATTGTTGAATAGATACTGTTTAGGCTTGTTTTTTTGTGTATATATTTAGCCTGTATATAAAAACAAATAAGATTTCAATAATAATATGTAACAGTTAATAATTTATACCAGCCATTTAGACAGGTGACTTGGTGTGTTTAATTTCATAAATATTAGGCCTATTAGTTCATAACTAGTGGCCCTGTTGCTCGAATTCGAGCAATTGCTAAGTATTACAGGCGTTATTTTAAAACGAATTTCAACCAAGTCAGCAAGTTTGTAGCAAACTGTTAAATTAGCAAACTTATTGACTGTTTACAATTAACATAATATGCACTTCTTCTCACTTTTGATTTCCGACAACAGCTGGAGTTTCATAACAATTTTTGTTTCCAATGTTAATCTTATGGAGAAATACAAAACTTTAAAGGGCTCCATGGCCTCACTCTCTCATTATTTCCCTGAAAAGAAAGTTTCCTGCACAACTTCACGTTACGCTCTTTCCAATGACACCAATAACATGTCAATTGGTTCAGTAGTTTCGGAGGAGTAATTGTCACAAAAATCGTGCTTGCGTATTAAATAAGTAATAGATGTATGTGTAAGCTACTCGCTAAATACATTGGTACCTAGTAGTTTCTGCCATCATAAGTCTAAAAAACAGTTTATAACAGAAAATTAAATTAATGAAAACAAATTTGATTAGAAAGAACTCTTATCTAGCCTACAGGTATTTTTACAAACATTTTATGAAGTTCATAAATTTTGCAAACAAATTTAACACAAAAAGAGAGAATGAGTAAAATGTCTGTTAAAATATAGAGAGAAGAAATAGAACTACCATAAGAAATTGTTTTTTTTTTTTAATTCTTCTTATATTTTATCAGTTCAATCAAGTACTGTACCTATTAAATGAGACTGTATGTATTAGTTGAGTCGAGTCAAATTCATAAAATGGTTGTGATGTAAACCCAATCCTTTTCCATTATCTAATATAATATTGTTATGCCACCATAATTAGCTATTCATAACATAATGAGTTTACATGTGATACTGTAGGCCTACCAACTGTTATGCAGTGCGACAAAGGTAAATAAAGATGAGCAATTACAATAAATGGGTAATAGGTGAATGATACACATTGATGGTAATTTAATCTATGAATAATTTATTAGTAGGTACGTTACACCAATTGAGTAACCAGTGAAATACCCCCGCCGTAGCAAACCTGCCGACTAAGATTTTCCAAATTTTACAATATTCTCCATAAGAATAACATGGGAATTTTAAATAAAAAATTTTTTGAATTTTCTCTGTAACCAATCACTGTACAAAAACACCTTGATATACAGTCCAACCTCAGTATAACGAATCTGAAGGGACCGAACTGAATATTCGTTATATCAAGGATTTCGTTAAAACGAGATTCGTTATATAGAGGTTAGGTTTGCATGAATTTCGCTAAGTCGAGGTTCAGAACCAGCGTCGGTCAATATAGGTCGGGATTTGACCTAATTAAAACACAATTAAAGTAGCATAGGCTACAATACTTTACAGTACAGTGTTTAACCCTCCGAGTGTTATTTGTCGATGCTTCGACACATAACACACTCTGTGTAGTGTTTTGTGTCGATGCATCGACTCACAAACACTGTTTACGTCGAAGGCTCTATGACTGACAAAATCGGATTGAACTGGATCGAGTTAGGTATCGTTTTATTTGGCAGATTCAGAGGTTTCTCCGAAGGTCTGTCTCTAAGCACTTTTCATTTAAGTTCCGAAAATATTGTAGCAGACAGCTGACGTGCGTATTTGTAAACAGCTTGGTTAACCTCGTACCGATGACTGATGTGTTTTATTACATTTATCATTGTTTTAGTGTTAAAAATCAAAAGTAGTGATATACGTGGTGCATTATAAGAAGATTTAAGTGATTTTGAAGGGCTGGTTGATGATCCTGAAGAAGTAGGTAGTGATATTGATGTAAATTATCAGCCAGATTCCTAGCTATGGTTAGGCTATGCATTCTTAGCTAAACGCTATGTACTGAAATCTGTTTTTTGCCCATAACTTATTTATTTGCAAATCTACATCCTTATATTATCATATATTTGTAATCCTCATACAATTTAGAACAAAGTGGCTTTTTTCAAATATTTATAGGCCTATAATTTATACAACATCATTGAGCGCAAACTTATTTTTGTTTGGAAAATTTCCCAAAATATTTTTTTTTACCTAAAAATTTTTTTTGAAACAAATGTTCCTTGTGTTTTATGTATAATATTGAAGCCCATGATTTTCCAAACAAAATGGTATATAGAACAGTATAATTAACATTGTTTTCAAGCTTCTCATATCCGTTTTAATAAAACCTTGCAAGTGAGCAAAAAATAGGCAGACATTAAGGCCAAAACAAGGGACACTCGGAGGGTTACATAGTACCATAGACTAACCAACACAAGTAGACTTCTCATCCCATTGTAAATTTTGAAGCTCGTTTTTCATGTCTAGTTCATGTACGCCACACTGGGCGCTAGTGTCGATGAAATTTTGTTTCTATTATTTTAGGGTTAATTTCTTGATTTGTGCTTTACTGTTTGGTTAAATAACTAGGGGACAATTTATTGTTTATGATTAGATCGTATTATTTGGTTAAACAAGGTTTTAAATTACTGTATTAACGGGAAACAAATTGTAAACAAAACACGACCTCTACATAAACCGTACAGAACTAAGAATAAAATTGTCTTCAGCTGTTCCATTAGGATGAGAAATCTACTAAGGGAGTATGTTTTATCTATGATAGTACATAGAAAGTAAATTATCCGGCATAATAAAGGGGAGGGATCTTTAATATTGCGGAATCATGACAATGGCATTGATCTTGGTACAGGTTAAAAACTGTAAGCTTATAATCACAGCTTAATCTAACCCTCCTAAAACCTAGCCAAACACTGTATTTTATAGTCATAAACCATAAAAACAAAACAAAACCGTAGAGAGTTTTGTAAGCGCTACTGCTCGTGATAGGTCGGTAGCACAGACTAACCAACACGTATGTTTTATCTATGGCGGTAGGCTACTTACAGTACAGTACTGATTTATCACAACAGAGGAATGTAAATAATAATCATTAACATTAATAATCATTAGCATTGGTGTTGCTAGTTTAAGCAAATCGTATTGAAAACAATAAATTATTAGATAAGTCATTATAAAAGTGTATAATCATAGCCAACTTAAAGATAGTAAAAACACTCGTAAAAGGAATGTTAAAATAACGATGTTGCTATTCTTTCTCTTTGCTTTTGTTTTTATATTCTTTCTTAGGTTTCTCTTCATCCAAAAATTGTATAATTCACCCTAGTTACTTATCGCCCAATCACAGCTTACTAAACATTACGTCATCAGTCCTCAGAGAATGAAATCAGTCCTCAGTAGGCCTATGTATGTCACATAGCGGCAGCGAACAGCGACAGCAGACAGAGATGTGTAAAACGGAGCAGACGAACCGCAAGCAATGAGGTCACCTTTCGATTTCATTTGATAAAGAAACAGACTTTCCAAAAACAATAATGGGGTGGGGGATTTGTTATATCGAGGGAAAGATGTAGACAATTCGTTAAGCAGAGGTTAAATTCGCTATGTAGAGGTTCTGACAATGATAAATTTGTTATATTGAGGTGTCTTATTTTAGCCGAAATCACGAAAAATTTGTTAAATCAAGGTCGTTGTTATGGTTTGTTTGTTATGTAGAGGTAAAATATTCATTGTGACTTATGGAGAGTTCTAGGGGATTTAACAAAATTTGTTATATCAAGGAATTCGTTCGAGGTCCGTTATATCAAGGTTAGACTGTACTTAATTATTTGTTTTTTTAAGCTCTTTAAAAAGAACTGGAGAAAAATTGATAAATTTTGTGTTTTAAGGGTAAAAAATGATAAAAACTCATTTTTACCCCATAAAACCCCACGTTAAACCCCATTCCCATGGTCCGATCATGCTGGTTCTACAAACACATCTACCCTTGAGAATTTAATGTCTAATTCTTTGCCTAAGATAATGCATTTTGCTAAATACATTTTAACTGCAAAACAAATCTTAACAATCTTCACAACTCTGTAAATTTACAATAACCCAATTATTAACAAAATATTGATCTTAACTTTACAGACAGATCCATTCAGAATGGGAAGGTCTTCTGGCGGAACTGTGTGAAGAACAGGTGTACATGCATATTCGTCCGACAGAGGTAAAACAGCGCAAGAAACAGCGGAAAGTGGAAAGCGAAGTAAGCGACTTGAGGAGCAAATTGTCATCGTCTTCTCAATCAGGCCGCAACATCGTGCTCAGCAATCGGGAGATAAGACTGCTTAGGTATTGTTGTCAAATTAATTTCAAGCATAATTTCATTTCAGGTTTATAAATTTGTGTCGCCTAAAAGGAGAAGGAGAAGGATCGGAAGTTCAGAAAGAAATGAGTGGGCACCAAAAAAAGAGAACTAAATTCTGAAAAAAATACTTACAGTCAAAAAAAGAAGTTTAGGCCGAGTTAATTTAGATTTGGTTTCTAGAGAAACACATATTAAAGAAACTTAACCTAAAGCTTATTCTAGTGTTAGCGGGGATCTTTGTCCTTCTGGAAACATTTTCCCTTTTTTTGGTAATTTTGAAATGGGTCGAAAGGTATGTTGACCTTTTGATAAATAAAATCTAAAGCTGTCATAATTTTGTTCTATAATAGGATGTTATGTGATTTTATCCAAATGTTTACACTGTATATCTTTGTTATTGTTATGATATGGATAAGTTTAAAAATTTCTAAAACTTACTTCACTCATCAAAGTCATCATTATACATCTTACACAATTTTATTGTTTTCTGGTTAACTTAAAAGAGGTTGGTGAATTTGTACACATGATTCTGCTCTGGCCGAATTTTTATTTTTTAATATTGTACACCTGTTGCCCTTTTCAAACAATTCAATTCAATTCGGATTCATTAAAACTTTTAAAGCGGTCCAAACTCATGAAGTTTTTTGTATTTATGCCCGGAGTTGAACCAGCCCTTCTCGTACTGAAGTTTGAGACACTAACCGCTAGATTTTTGGCAAACCATTCTCTCATTATTCTCTCCTGGACCAAAATGCACTGGAAACCTCTCCTCTTCATTTTGTCATTATTTATGTGTACTCAAACTACCAAATTCAAAACTTTACATGATATTTAATGTTGATAAATCACTTATTTCCTAAGGGCCTGTATACCTAAGTAGTTGATGTATCCTTAAGGATTTTGTTCAACGTTATTTTTCACCTCATCTTTAATAATTGTTTCATACAGGTAATAAATGTTCACAGGTATCTGGATTTAACTGACGAAGAAAAAGAGAAACTAAAGGGATCGTACAAAGTTGCAAGAAAACTTGAAAAACTCGAAGGAAGGATGAAGTAAGTTGATCACTAAAGTAAAATGTGAATAGCTAAACGAATCCAATTATTTTATCAAACATACTCTTTTGTACTACCTCAACAAATTCTAACATTCTAACTTTAACAATTTGTATGTGTGTGTTTTTTAGGTTACTTAACAAGGGCATTTTTTGGTAATGATTGTTACTTATATTGTTGGTATTTCTCTCAGAGATGGTGAGGACGGAGATGGGGAATACCCGAGTTTGGATAGCTACAACAGCGGAAAGTCAACACCCTCGGACAATTCACTATCAGGTATGATTAGAATGTAGGAAAAATTTTACTTGATTGCTAATAGCTCCATTGATTAGAGTTTGCCTTTTGTATTTCACTGCTTGTAGCCATGAAAGAACTCAGCTGATTGGTAGTTTTTTACAAATGTGTCTCTCAATATTTAGCATTTTATCACTATTGAAAATCTGCCTCTTGTTCAGCGAATTGATGGTTTATTTTACCTTTCAGTCAAGATGTTGTTACAGTAAAAAGAGCTGTTTTGTCCTCACGATTCCTCGTCAGGTCTAACTATACTGTATTCATAAGTAACTCATCAGGTCTAAAAACGTAAAATTGCTCGGTCTCTTGTGTGGCTCTCAAATAACGATCACCATCTTAATGTGTTGATATTAATGTTAATTACAACCCCAACTTTGAGGGACTGCATAACTCTGATGATTTTAGACCTGACAATGTACTCACGAGGACTAAACAGCTGTTACTAAAATCACACAGGATTTTCAAAGCACAAGAAATCAAACCTTGCATATTTTAACAATCAGTGGCTGATGCAGGTGAAGCGTTGAGTCCATGCTCCGGACCTCGCAGTCTGACAGAGTCGATGCAACAGATGGACGACATTCTGTCAGACACGGGCATGGATCGTCTGGACAAGATGGAACGTCTCGAGGCGCTGTTGACAGCCGCTGTGACGGGGCTGGGCGGGGGTGGCGGAGGAAGCCGGGGGGCGTGTGACTGTCAATGCCACTCAGCTCCGACCGCAGACTCTACGTCACAAACACTGTCCACCGGGGACATTGTCATCACCAGGATTCATTTCAACGAGGAGGACCAAGAAAAGGAACGTACCTTGTTGTGCTCCCCTAAGCACTGATGAATGGCTCAATTGTAAAATATACTTAGCGCAGTCTTAGTCTCGTAACACGGTGAATTTGTAACAGGGTTTTAGTTTGTTTATTAACCTCACCAAAGTTAAATAGACCGTAACAGTAATTTCACATGTTTGAAAGTACAGTTTCATCCTCCATGAAGGCGGCTCCAGACATGCGCCACTTGCCAAGCACGAAATATTTGATGTTCGGCGATCTAGTTGTCTTGCTATTTGCCGATTAACGTGTAGACGTCTACACACATGTGTTGTTTTCCGAGCCACTGTTTGTTTTTCGTTTCTGTTGGGCAACACACGATCAAGAATGCTCGCTGCCTGCCAAATAGGCAAACACCTATCTATCTACCTTACTCGTGATTCGGAGAGACGCTGCTCGGTGCTTGGCAAATGGCGCATGTCTGGAGCAGCCTTAAAAGAATGTAAAGTATCTTTACTCCTGTAACTTCCCTAAAGTCTTAACTCAGTGTGAAATGTAAATGGATTCAATGCTCATGTTTTTATTAAGTAGACAAGTATGTTTAGATATTAAAAGAAGTTAGATTGTTATTCGCTTACACAACAGGCCTTGTATAGCTATGCTATTTCATGTGTGATAATAAAAACTAAATGCTATAGTACATATCATACTTATTAGCTGACTAGTTTATATAGTTACTGTTGTTTCATGGATAGGAAAATTTTCTCTCATACATTTTGATAAAAATGTATCCAGATGTGGATTTTCACATGTCCTTTTTTCTCAACAGTGGTAAATTTAATTTACCAATATCGATGAAGTCGAAGTTGAGTAGTTTTTTTTGTTATGCTTGAACTTTGGTTACACATTTAGTTGTGTTATGTGCCTTTTAAACATTGATAGCTTGAACGTCAATTAGTGTTAGAAGATGCTTAACCTATTTTAAAAAGCAGTTACAATCCAAAAACTGTAAGTAGAGTAGACTGAATAAAGGACTGAGTTTTTCCTGTATTATTTATTTTTCAGAATTTATTATGTAGATTTGTTGTTATATTGAAAGTATATGTAATTTGCTTCCGAAACACAGTTTTTCAAACACTATAGATCTATTTTGTTATATTTAGTGGTAGTTTACCGATTAAAGTGCAACTGTAGTTTGATTCTGTCATCAAATGATTGTAACATTTTTGATCAGATTTATTTGTGCATCTTACAAGGGGGGAAGATTTTACTATTTCTTTTAATATACTGTATTTTTAATTTTTTATAGGTTGTTACTTAAGCATAAAACCAAGGGTAATGATTGTAATGTAGTTGTATATTTGGCTGTGAGATTTGTTTGATTTTTGGTTTTGCATGTAACTGTTTTGACCATTCTGAGTTAAAAATTACAGATATATCATACTTAAAGTTTATATTTCAATGTTGACAATTATATGTATGATGATAGTTAATTTATTTAAACACAGATTGAAAGTATTTTGTAACTACCTTCGTATAGTTCAATAGCAGTATTTATAAAATATGAATTAATAATATTATGATTTGTGAGGTACACACACCATAACAAAATATGTCGATCATTGAAATAATGTTTGAAGGATTTTAAATACTGTAATCATACAATATTGTTCTTTCAGTTTGACTGTAACTTCATTTTAAGGTGTATATAATATTTAACGAACTTGTTGATTTTTTAAAACATGTGAATAGCTTTATGGCTCTGTTTTTTTACTATGGTTGGCCTTGCTTACAACTTCTTGAGTGATTTGTTTGATCAATAATTAATTACTTATCTAAACGCTGAAATGTCATCATAATTGTCTGTTACTTGTAGACGGAAATGGCTGGGACCAAAATGAATTTATGCTTCAAGACCTTTATAAGTTTTATTGTTTTATTTAATCTTTGTGTTATTAACAAAATTATATTTATGTTTTTTAGGTTGTGATATTAATATTAGATTTAAGATTTTAAATTAACCTAGTAGTAGTTTTAATTGGTAAAAAACAAACAAGTTATGTTATGAATTGGGAAGTAAGAAAAATTTTAAAATATTGTTAATTTTTAATTCTATCTTGAAATCAATTATGATACAATCTGGTACATTTTCAATCAAACTCATTGATTTTTTATCGTTAATCTTAACATGACTTGTTTTCAAAAGTATTATAACACCAATTACGTATTATCATTGACTATTGGATACTGAAGTTGTATTAATAGTCAAGGTATTATATAGTGATTATGCCATAGCAAATTATTGATTATTTACTAGCTCACTCACTAATCTGTAATCCTAAATCGTAATTTAGTGACTCCTTAGTGCCTATTCTTATTTTACATTTTATTATATGTACGTAATTTGTTATTGATAAGCTTAAAAACATTGTGTTTATTTTTTTTCTGTTGGCTTAAAATATCTACTTTCGTATGGTCGCCATTTCAATGAAAAGTATTATGTATTAAGTATGAAATACGGTTAAAATAGAATTTGGAATTTGGTCCCCTATGAAATATGAAGTATTGGAATGTTATTAATGTTTAATATTTATTATACTCTGGTTTAAGTTATACACTGTATACCTGAAATTATCTATGAATGAAGAATAACATCTTTTTGATTAAAATGAATGTTTTTAATGTTTTTATATTTGTATTGCTGGAAGAGGTGCAAAAGAAGTTAAAACTAAATTGTTCCTGCCACTCTGGTGCTTCCATTTATTCTGCTTAAACAATACTTCCTTAGTGTTTCAACCAGTTAATTCTAAATCCTGGATTTTATTGAATTTGTTCTCATTTTAAGAAACAGTAAAACTGTATAAAACAATAAAGAAGCAATAATTAAGATTTTGTTTTGTAACTTTAAAGTGGTGTATTTATTATATTTGTGTGCTGGTATTAATTTATTATGGAGTGCAAAAGTTAAAGGATGGGTGGTTATTTAAAATCAATCAGCAAATATTGTAAAGTAAATTTATGAAATAAATAATTTTTAATACAAGTGTTGCTTTTAATACTCCACATGTTATTTTAAGTTAATAATTTTAAGCAATTTTCATCATACTACCAGCCGCCTGTGGGTCCCGGGGCGGGTACTATGGAAGGTAGTGGCTGTGAATATGTGTTTGTGGTGAGTGTAGATTTTTTGTGAGTTTGTGTAGGTATGAGTGGTCTGTGTGAATGTATTAGGGCCATGTGTGTGGAATGTATGTGCCAAGTCTCAGGCATTTCAAATTATTTGTTATTTCTGATGGGATAATTTCCTATATTTTTAACTTGCAAACTGAACGTGTGATATATGCATGCATTAATTTAATTTTTTTTACACTGTATCGTTTTGTATACCTATATTTATCTCATAAACTAGTTCTTTCTTATTTACCTTTTCTTGTATACAAAATTCTGGGTACAATATATCTTATTTTCCTTTTTAAATGTAGCCTAAATTGGTTTTATTGTGCGGATGATGGACTCAATCCCCAACCACAGGCATTAGCCCATTTGGGGATTACATTTCATAAATCGTTTCTTGTACCATTGAACTGATGTACTGTACTGAAATAATAAAGAATTCATTCATTCATTCATTCATACTGTAGCAAGATACATTTTACTAGTAATGGGGATAGGAACCTAAGTTTGGGACCACAGTGCTCTTTTGTTTCGGTTTCGAATCAAGAATCCAAAAACATTCTTCGAACAAATGTTTACATACATGTGTGTCCGTGGACTAGATAACTATAATCAAAATATTCTATGATTTTTATTAATTCAATTGTGAAACAAATGTTTTAATAAAAATACATTTGCCTGAGCTTATGAACCAGCCAGGTTCCATGAAAAATATGTCATAATTTAAGAGCATTTCACATGGTTTCAATGAGCATTTCGAGGACCAAAGCTTATATTTAAGTTCACGAGGTCAAAAAATATTACTTCATGAAGCTCGAAGGATGTTTCTTAAGCTCCAAAATTCATTAGGTCCAAAAGTACAGTCAGAGAATTCAAAAGTAAAGTAGTAATAATTGTATTTCTCAGATAGAAGGCATTTGAATACACCTCTTGACTAACAGCATCTCTTGATATTTATTTTATTTGCTGTGTGTATAACTACAGGTCACCCCCTCCACTCCACGGTGACGTCACCATGTTCAGCATTCACTGCAACAGTCTGTGAGTCAAATTGTGGATTTAGGATTACAGTTAACACTGTATCCCCTGTAAAATTTTGCAAAGTTAAAACGGGTTGGCTTTTATAGAGTTTTGTAACAAAGAAATTATTTTTTCAAATTTACCAAAATGTTTGACAGTTCTTGTTAAACATTAAATATTAACATTAAACATTAGACATTAAACATTAAATATTAGAATAAGTTACAATCCACTTGTACCAGACAGATCATTAATAGCCCTGAAATGGAATTGATCAATTTTTTTTTCATCAATAGGAAATATAAAAAAACCATTCATTTTTTAATAGTTTACTAAGTAACAATAAAATATTTAATAATACAATCAATTACACCATATGTACATAAATAATGATAGTTTCTAATTTTAGCTGTCTTCCACTACTTTCATTTTACCACAGGTTGGAAATTTTGTTTGTTTTACAATTTATAAAAATTTGATTATTCGAATATGTAACTTATAATGAGCTAAAAACTTTTTTTATGGTAAATTTAATCAAGTTAATACCTCATTAAATGCTACATTCATTTGAGGACGGTTTTTTTATTTATCATTAATTTATTTTTATAAATAATTTGGCATTGAAATGTAGCTATCATGTTACCTTTTCAGAAATGTAAAATTCTTTAAGTAAGTACTATATGTGTAAAGAGCTTTCATACAATCTGTGTAAATAAACTGAATGTTTACCATAAAATTTAATCCTCAACAGATTTTTACCATATAAAATTAAAAACAAAACAGCAAAGTGTTATAGGACATAAACAACAGCTCAAAATTACTTGTTCTGGACTTTTTATATTAATCGACTTGACGTAGAAATAACAAGGGCCTGCCAACAGTACTAAAGTAATATACTGTTACAAAATTACTACACCTAGATAAATTCATTCTTATTACATAAATACAACACTAAAAATATCAAGAAAATCACAAATTAATATGTTGTGTTTATAAATTGCTATAAAAGTCCAAACATGATATAGAACACTTTAAAATATTGAACCTATATAAAAATCACTGGTAAATAACTAAGCATTATTGCAAATGCGCTTAGGGCAATAGATATACATAACCATTATTATAAGTTATTAATTATTAAATATTATTATTTTTACTAATAAATTAAATACAATTGGATATTTCTATGATCTGTAAAAAACTACGGTGTCTACAGATTTTCACAATGTACAAAACTAAAAAAACAAGGAGTTTTCTATAACGACTATTTGGTAAAAAAGTGTATGCATAAGACACAAAATTTGTATTGATATGATTGAGCCGAGTGTAAATTTAAAATCTACGATGTAATTAATGACTTGTGAAGATGAAGAAGCAATACTTTAGTGAAGAAGAAGAACTCAGCCTTTCACTCCACCCTTTACGCCTTTCTGAAAATCAAAGTATCACCTGATTATTCTATGTGTAAGGGCTAATGCAAGGTTAAAAGAGGCTGCCAACCTCTAAAAAACAAGAAAAAATCCTTGGATCACACATTTTACATTCTGTCATACACAACACAACACAGACATTACAGTTACTCCAATTAATTTTAGGATCTAGTTTTTATGTTAAAATTAATTTATATTTAAGTTCTATGTTTTCTGTCAGAAAACCATTAAAATTCATCTAAGTTTACAGAAAACCATTAAAATTCATCTAAGTTTACATTTTATCCGTTTTTCAACTACCACAACGATTGCAATCAAACAAGACTGAAAACTGGCAGTTAAGAAAAAGTATGGAAGTTGTTTAATGACTTTGTTGTGTTTACTGTGCAAATATAGAGCTATCACAACAGGGTGACTACTCCATTTCTACTTAATTAGAAAAGGTTACTTTGAGAGTGTTTGTTTTTAAATACAAATGTATTATGTACCTGAGTTTTCACACTACTACTAACTTGCCTTTTGACAAAATTTCCTTAGAATGCAAAGTTTAATTTTGCAATTCAATTTTTTAAAGATCTATTTGAAAATAAACTCACGTTCCTGAGTATTTTAAAATAAAAATATTTTACCGTCATAAAAATACAAAAAAACAGTGAAAACTGCCAGAGGTTACACTATAAAAAAATTATATTACACATCTTAAATAAAAACAAAAACCTCATTTCTTTTAAAATAATCTTGCACACAAAAGAATTATTTTCAACCAATACACTGATAACAATTGTATTGGTAAAAAAATAGTACCAATTACAAAAAGTAAAAGAAATTGCTGAGAAGTATGTGGAACATTTAACAAATAACTGAGTTTGATAGCCGAGTGGATTAAGTGTTTACTTTCAAATTTTAAGAACGCTGATTTGATTGAAAGCAAGATCGGTTCTGGACTGATGTCATAAGTCATTGGGCTATCAATTAATTAACCCTTTGAGGTAGATTTTTTTTCTTATTTTGGTGAGTATATGGTATAGATCACCATTCGAGGAGTCGAGAAAATGGCGTGCGGCGACCTATACTCGCCATTCAACCACAAAGGTCAAAATTTTTTTGTGAGTTGTCACTTTTGAGCTTACGGGAAAATGGCGCGCAGCAACCTTACTCACCATTCAACCGCAAAGGGTTAAGATATCTAACAAAAGGCTTACGTAATATAGTTGCAAGACCAGGGTTTGGAGCATTCCCTTAAGTGTGAAAATTTCTGTGGCATGAATGAACCCATAATAATCTGCCCACGTTGAATGAACAGAAAGATAAAAAATAGTAGAGGTGAATGAACAGAAAAAATCGGAAGAATCTAAACACAAAAGGACACTTACAGTGAGAGCTTCCTTCTCCTTGCGGCCAGTGACTTTGCATCGTGTTCGGACCAGCATCCCTCTCTCCAACTCACACTTGCACTCTTCTCGCAGCTCCTGACTCGTCAACTCCTCGGCGATCTTGTTGGCGACAACCTGCATGAAGTTCTTCCTCAGCTGCGGCTTGCCTTTCACAAAGTTGCTTGAGCTGAACACTGCTCCGTTTGTCTGTAAGCAAAATTTTTGTTAAACTAAGTATGTAATTTAGCTGAAAATTTGAGGATATTTCTGGTGTCTATGTTATTGGGTATTTAGATGAGCGTTAGGTAAACAAAAAAAGGGAATGGAACTCAATCAGTCAGAACAGCTTGAATATGTGGTTGTTCGTTTTCTATTATTATTACGTTGCATGAGCAGATGTAACACACATACTTAAAAGAGGGTGACAAAAAGATAAACATGTTTTTTTACGTATAACCAATATAGGAGTTTATCAGATTGAATTGATCAAAATATATAATTATAACTACCCAAATTTAACAATGAAAATTAGCAAACAGGGGGTTGTAAATAACTGTGGGAATGATTCTCTTAAAGGGCTAAGAGAACAAATACCAAAATATCTCTTAAAGGGCTGAGAGAACAAATACAAAAATATATATAAGTATTAAATGTGAATGCAGTTGTTATTGCTCGATTCTCTTTGCTAGTAGTACGGTCCATGATTCAGTGCCAAAAAGAACTGACTCATTTCCATTTGAAAATATTCTTTTGACAGTTCATACAAAAAGTATTGAATATCAACTTACTCCGAGAGCAAAGTCAATGCAGGCTTCATTTTCGTATTTCAAGTTCTTAAATGCTTCTTCATCTCCCTTGAGCACCTTCCTCTTGGCTTCGCTCTGAGTGTAGACTGTTTCTGAGTCAAAACCTACGGCACAGACAACTCGTTAAAACATTAATGGAACATATTGGACATAAGTAGATCTCTAAAAGATCTAAAAGTTTACAAGAGGAATATTCTAAGTGATCTAAAATTCCAACAATCTAACAATAATGAAAAAGAG